TATATATATAAACCAAACCCAAGTGGTTTAGCTGTATGTCTAGCTGCTGTAGTTTCTCTTCCTGTGCTCTAAATATCTAAAACCATCAAACCTGACCAGTAGGCTGGTTTAAGGGTTCTTAATTGTGATGAAATCACTGTATAACACATGGCCTCTCATTGTTTAATGCAGCGCACATACAGAATCTGAATGACTGTAAACATGGACAGCTGAATGCATAATCAGATTAGACAAAATATTACATAAACATGCAAAGGTATGTGTATAGCTTCAATAACAGCTGTTGGAAATCTGTGGCGCTTTTTGCATGCATAAATTCAATGTGGGCCTGATTATTCCTGTATTTCACTGCAGAGGACATATTGTAAACAGAAGGCTTGCTTCTTGTAATTTTTCTAAATGAGACTTAATTGTAGATTAATATTAAATAGGTGCACCACTTTATTTTCTGATTTTGGCGATCCATAACAAGTTGATGTTTGACCAACATTTAATCATAGATTCCACAGTTTCTTCAGTATAATTTTGTCATTAAATTAGTGTTTACCTGTGCAGAAACCCCATTTATTGTGTGTATATTTGTTCTGCAGAAAGCCTTGTGAAATCCAAAGACAGAAGCATCATGGGAAAGAGTCTACAGCTGCGGTCCAGGAGGTAAAGAACATGCCAGTTCCTGTTTTGAGAAACACCTTTCCTGCTTTATTTGTCTTTCAGTCACACACACACATCTTTCAGTCACAAACCTCATCCGATTAGATCTGGTCTCACTGTGCTTCCGAATTAAAGCTCCCTGATGCACGGCTGGATGGATTCTGCACGAATGAGTGCCCGTGTTCAGAAGTTTGATTTAAGCCGCCGATGTGGTGTATGACTGAATAAGCCTGTTATGTCAGATAACGGTGTAAATATTCAATGTTTGTTTCTTAATTCTGACTCTGATGTGTTCTGATCTCACAAAAGATCAATAGAAATATGATACATTCTTTTTCTTTTGATGAAACCTTTGCTTCTTGTTTCTTTTTTTATACATATACATATACATATATACGTATATAGATTTTAACCCAGTGAGATTTAGCAATGGGTGGGGCTACAAAGTGATGTCACAGCAATGTTATTTTAGTATTACTTATATACTATTATAGTTCTTATTAACATTTTGAATTAGCCTTTTTTATATTTTAGTTTTCATCTTTAGTAATTATGTGCTTTTGTTATCTGCTTTTAAATAATACAAATATGTAATTTATTTGAATGTTTTTTTTATTTGAGATAATAGGTAATAACTTATTTTTATTTCAGTTTTAGTTGTATTTCAATTTTGATTCATTTGTAATAAAAAGTTGGTCTGTTTAGTGCTATCTGGAAAAATAAATAAATAAATACATAAATAGGTATATATCAGCTTTCAGCTTTATTTCCATTAACAGATATGTTTTTGTTAATGATAATAATAGAAACGTTATCAACAAAAAAATAATAGAAACCAATAAAAAAAATGTCATGTTGTTTGTCACAGTTGATGGTTAGGACAAAAACTTTGAATGTACTTGGATAGATGGATAGATCCCAAACTTTTCTGTCAGTTAAACTCCTTTGACCTCAAATATTTCCTTGGAGTACCTCTGACATTTTACATTACTGTTTTAATATTATAACAACACATCTGCATATTCACAATTCTCTGATTTCGGTTAATGATCGCATGACATGCAGGAAAACAAATAAAATATCATTAATCCAATATTATAATATTGTATATAAATTAGTATAATATTTAAAGTGTTTGATTTAGATTTATTTTTATTTAAAATTATTGAAATAAATAATTTGTAATAAAAATGTAATTATTGATTACATTTTATTATTCACTAATTTTATATTTTTGTGATTCAATTGTTAGCTTTTCATCAACTGATGCACCCCAGTTTGGGAAACGCCCATTTATGTTGTTTGGTTATAAACTGTGTTCTCCACACACAACGGCATGACACTATTTTGAAAGTCTCTCAGTCTTCTGAAGGCTCAAGAGCAGACCTGAAACCCAAATCCGTCAGGGTCAGAGTCCAGTGTTGTGAGCATTAATATGAGACTGACCTGTGTCTGGCGTGTGTAATTATGCCGAGAGGGGTGAACTGTGTCAGATTTCTACTGACACCGCATTAAAGTGGGATTTTTCTGACGACATCCTGGGGTTAATTAAAACCTGTGGGCATTAGATTAAGGTGAATCATACCAGAGATGAAACAGAGCCGTGTGTGTGTGCCTGTTATATTACAGCTCATAGATGATTCCCAATACTTGATTCTGATTGTTAAAATATTTAATAAGTACCATAGTTTTAGACATGGTACTGTACTACCAAGATATTCTTTGAAGTAAAAAAATTAATCAAATCTGATAAATACTGATAGACCCCATTGTTAAAAAATATTTTTTATTATATATAATTTTACTTTATATTTAAAATAATATATATTTAATATATATTTATATACATATACAAGTCAGTGTACGTGTCATACTTTCTGGCCACCAGATGTCACTATAGGCCAGAATATCAGTGTAGGTTGCTCAGAAAATCACCAGAGACTATCTGAAACTGAGCCTTGACTTACTTAAATGTACTCATATATGCACAGAAATGTACATGTATTCTTCTCAGGTATTTTTGTCATGGCAACTATTTCAACAGTTTCATCATAAACTCTTTCATCAGTTACATCATAAGATAAGTTTTGATAGTATGTTGTTCTGAACACGGCTGAAGTTTCATCCTTTATTTATATGGTACATGTTCTAACATCATTATGTATTGATAACATTCAGTTATTGATGATAATGATGGTGGTGTGTGTATGAAGGTGTGCATGTGAGAGGCGAATAATAGGAAAATATTCTATGTGCAAACACGTGTGTGTGTGTGCTTGAATGCTCTCTGGTTGGCCGTGCTGTAAAGAGCTTCATTGTGCTGTGTGTGTATAGAGCCACTGTTCACAGGAATGAACACCCATCCACTGCCAATGAAACCACTGCACATGCACATGATAACACACACACACACACACACACACAAATATAGACAATAAAATCATTGCCAGCCAGTAAATGTGTGTGTCTGTCATGAGGCTGGACATTTTTCCAATATTCCCTCTCTGTTTCTCCCTTTCTTTTTATGGGTGATTCTTCAACATACGTCTGTTGAGATGAACATTCATCTCACATCCTGGAAAATCTGATCCTATCCTTGATCAAGTACATTTGGAAAATGTACTCACCCTCAGGCCATGAGTTCGTTTATTCATGGGAACAGATTTGTAGAAATGTAGCATTGCATCTCTTGCTCACCAATGGATCCTCTGCAGTGAATGGGTGCCGCCAGAATGAGAGTCCAAACAGCTGATAAAAACATCACAATAATCCACAAGTAATCCACACTAGTCCAGTCCATCAGTTAACATCTTGAGAAGTGAAAAGCTGCATGTTTGTAAGTAACAAATCTATCAAGATGTTTTTAAAGGGGTCATATGATGCTGCTAAAAAGAACATTATTTTGTGTATTTGGTGTAATGAAATGTGTTTATGCGGTTTAAGGTTAAAAAAACATTATTTTCCACATACTGTACATTATTGTTTCTCCTCTATGCCCCGCAAGCTCATCAGTCTGAAAAGCGAGGTGTGCTCTGATTGGCCAGCTATACAGTGCATTGTGATTGGCCGAATTCCTCAAGCGTGTGACGGAAATGTTACGCCCCTTACCATACTGTGATGCATTGAAATCGCATCATATGACCCCTTTAACTTCAAACCGTTGCTTCCAGCTAAATACGAGTCCATAATCCATAATAACACTTCCTCCAGTGAAAAAGTCAATCCCCTGTTGTAAAGCTGTTTTGGCTTGTAAACAGTGCTTGATCTGTGCAGATTTCTGTCCTGATTCAGACCCGATGACTTTTTCACTGGAGAAAGCAATATTAAAGATAGATGACTCATATTTTAGCCGGAAGCAACAGTTTGAAGTTAAAAACGTCTTAATGACGGATTTGTTTATTACAAACACGCAGACTTTGGCTTCATTCAATAGATGGACTGGAGTGGTGTGGATTACTTGTGGATTATTGTGATGTTTTTATCAGCTGTTTGGACTCTCATTCTGACGGCACCCATTCACTCCAGAGGAGCATCCATTGCTGAGCAAGTGATGTAATGATACATTTCTCCAAATCTGATGAAGAAACAAACTCATCTACATCTTGGATGACCTGAGGGTGTGGACATTTTCAGCAAATTTTCATTTTTGAGTAAAGTATTCCTTTAACACATGTTACAGAAGGGAAAGTCTTGGTGGGGAATAGAGACATTTTTTGCAAACTGAACCTTTCAACACTCATGAGAAACAGTAGATGCTACAATTAGATGCTATAACAGTAGATGCTACAATTCCTTAAAACTACAATGATTGCTTTTTTTATGCAGCATTTGTTCTTTAAAGCACCCTATGGGATAAAAGAAATCACCCAGACATCTAGTATTAATTATGATCTGTTTCGACAAAAACATTTGGTGTGTCCAACTCTTGCTGACCACAAATGATGGACGTTTGGAATAAAACTGACCAAAGGCTTTTTATTTATTCTTTTTTTTTTTGCAGAAACTTCTGGAACAGATTTTGCAGAGGGGAGGAAATCACTGACACCGCCTTGGACTCGTGCTTCTTCTCACTCCACAGTTCTCATGCTGGCCCTTGAAAAATATGACATGACATTAGTTATAAACGTTATGGAATAGTTCCTTCCAGAACGAATGTGCCTCAAACATGGACTGCAGCCTCATTTCTGTGGCTCTGGATTACATCTTCTCTCTCTATACATACATTACTGGTTAAAAATTTGGAATAATTAAGGTTTTTAATGTTACGTCTCTTATGTTCAGCTAGGCTGCATTTATTTGCTCAAAAATACAGTAAAAAAATTTTTACTGTATATTTATATTTATCACAATTTAAAATAACTTTTTTCCAATTAAATATATTTTAACATGTAATTTATTCCTGTGATACAAAGCTGAATTTTCAGCATCATTACTCCAGTCTTCAGTGTCACATGATCCTTCAGAAATCATACTAATATACTGATTTGCTGCTCAAGAAACATTTATGATTATTATCCATGTTGAAAACAGTGTTTGCTGCTTCATATTTCATAGAAACTTTGCATTTTTCAGTCCTACAGATTCTCGACAGTATCACATGGCAAACACAGGGCATCAGGAGTGTCTTTTGGCTTCTCAGAGATGCTACAGTTGCCTATAGACAGATTGTTTGCCCTTTCTGTGCCTCTATCCCTGTCATATTATATTATGTAAGAGACACAACATAAAAGAGCACATTACGGCTCCGGTCCTCATCGCTAAAAGCCTAAAATCCAACATTTGAAGACATTCTTATAACATGAAGGACCTGATCCCGCTCTCAGCCTTGAAGTCGTAGGTTCGGCGGGCTCATTATGACATCAGTAGCCTTCCTCTGTCCGTGTCTCTCCGAACCATTAGCCGGGAGCAAAAGGAATTTGACCTCGTCTGAATAGGAATGCATCACTAATGGAGCCGAGTGCTTGCGCGGGGTGAAAGAGGCTTTTGTCCTCTCTCCAAATGAGCCAAGACTGTCCCACATGTGCCTGCTTAGACGGGACATGACTGTGCAATAGTCGAGTTATAAACTGAAGCCTTGCAGTAAAACTTGATTCGATAGACTTATTATTATGTCCTGTTATTGTGTTTGGTATTTTAACTATTACTTTTTAAAATCAAAAGACTGGGCCAGAAGATGTGGAGTAATGTAGCTTTCTTTGTGTGTATTCAATAAGATTATGCATTTTAGGCCAGACATTACACAAGTACAGAAATGTATGTGCAAATGCTCAACCAAGGACAAATTATCCCTGTAAGTCCCTAAGGAAAGTCATTTCACTCTTTGTAACACTATTTCAGTCATGCAAGTAACAGCTTTTATTTCTTTGAATGGGGAAACATCAAATTCGTCGAAGCAATGCAGCAAACTTACTATTAAAATTTCATATTTGAAATCGCCAATGAAATCTGACAACTGTCTAAATTTTTTCGTAAGTAATGTAAATGTGTACTGTCTTTGTATATCTAAAGCCTTTGCTGAAGTCTTTGGTACAATACAATTGTCTGTGTATGTTATATTTGCATTTACAGGTTACTCAAGGGTGCGCTAGAATTTTAGAAGATGTTATTCAGGTAAATAGCCATAAATATGGCATAGCCTATGTTGGCTTTACAGACCGTTTTTAATGTTTTATGCCTGAGATTAACAAACTTTTTCTAAACTGAATCTGTTTGATCTAAAACATTATAAATTATAGATATTATAAATAGTAAATCTATAATTGCTTGAAGTCCCCCTGATATTTTAATAATTTAACAACACAGTTCTCTAATGACTGACAGTTATGGAACTAAACAAATAGCCTAAAATATTTAATTTTTGATTGTTTTTATTTTTTATTATGTTTTATTAATTTACATTTTAATTAACAATAACTATTAACTTTTCATAAACTCAAAAATCCCTGCATTTTGGGAAACCCTTTTAAGTTTTTATTGTGAAATTTCTGTTTACATTTTAATTTTAGGTAAAGTTTTAGTAATTTTTACTATGTTTTTAACATTATTATTTTTTTAATATGATAATTTTTATTAATTTTATTTTCAGTTTTAGTTATTTTAGTACATCAAGTTAAACCAAATAAAAAAGTTTTTTATTTATTTATTTTATTTTATTTTCATTTCATTTTATTTAACTAACTTGTTTAAATCAAAATGTTTCACAGGTTATATATGCATTCCCTAGTTCATAAGATGCAATGCAGTGGCCAAAGAGATCCATCTGATGTATAGGTACAGAAAACAGTGCAGACAAAACGCAAGAACGTTTCCTGCTCGAACAGCCCCCGAGAGTCTCCATTTACATGCCAGTGTTGACAATTCAGCTTTGTGCTTAAAAAAAAAAAAACATGTTTTATGCCTTCTTATTTTCCTGTTAAACCTTTAGCTCAAATCTCAGAGCAGATTTTGTCTTTGAGGCCAACTACATTTAGAGTCTTTTCCTAATGTCATGCCGAATATTTATGTGTTTTTGCAAGAGGGCTTTTCTCAGTATTCTGGGCTTTGAGTTTGATGCTAATAAAAATGACAGAATCCTAAAAGCACAGTCCTAAATAACAGGAAAACTAATACATTTCGGCTGGATGGATGGATGAATATTGCTCTTGAGAAACTTCTTCTGGCCTCGGATGAAGAGCCGTGATGAATCATAGCGGGATGTTGATTACTACAGCAAAAATACTGACCTAGAATCAGAGCGAACCACGTAAACCCATAAATCGCCTTTTCTCTGAGAATTATTGTGGTTCCTTAGATACAAAAGGGTTTTACAAACTTTTAAAAATGACATGCTGAATGAGCAATAGGATTTTCAAAGGCATTCGTGAAACTAGAAACCCTGTTGTCTGGGATTGTAAAGTCTGTTCTGATGGACCCGATCACCCCTGCTGAGGTGCGTACCTGGAGAAATGTGAACCAGACCCCTTCTTCGATAGCAGAACTGAAGGATTACTTCATCAGGTGAAATGGAGACACCACAGGTAATCGATCATAAAGCATTTCTTGTTTTTTTCCCACTGCAGTGAATGGATGGCACAGGTGAAAGCGTGCAGTGAAGTTTATTGGACATGTATATGGTGAACACTGACCTTGCTTTATCACAGGAGCTCGTCTGGAGTCTGTTTCACACCTGAAGATAGCTGGTACATTGACCCTGGGACGGGACATCAATCCCAGACCTCTGAATTACGTCAACAAAGACCTCGGGGGCCCATGAGGGCCATTCTAGCAAATGGGTCCTTTTGTGTTCCTCATTAACATATGAGTAAGTAATGACTTGGAGGATTTTTACTATGGGCTGCTACAGGCATTTCCCTAAAAACCCGAAAATCTAGTAACTTTATGTTAATTTATATAATTTATTTGATGCTTTTGTTGGGTTCTCATAATTATGTTTTAACCCTGTTATCAGGACTGTTTTGTAAAATCGATCAGTCACTGGATTACTTAAAACAATGCTATATATATATATATATATAAAATCATTATTATTTTTTGCTGCTGTTGTTATTACAGCTAAATATTATATTTATTATCATTAACTAAAGCCATAACCATAAAATACTTTTGTTTTTAGAATTAATAATAAAATAAATAACTTAAACTTTAAGTGAAATATGTAAAACAAATTATTTTATTTAATCTAGTTGCCAGTGCAACATTTCTCATTTTCATTTAGTTTAACTTGCACTAAAATAACTAAACATAAACTGAAGAAAAATTAAAAACTATATGGACATATAAAAAAAACGAATAAAAATGACAAAAACACAACAAAATAATAATAACTAAAAAAAATGATGAAAAAATGCTAAAACTAAAAATAATTCAAAATTTTAACAAAAAACTAATATTATTTAAATTATACTAAAATGTATATGTGTGAAATTATTATTCATTCATTTAATTTTGGATAATTATTGCAATTTATTAACATTATATTGATAATTATAGCAATAATTTATAATTTATTTTGTCTATGAAGAAATACATTTAAATCCTTATAAATCACCTTTTTGAAATGTGAAATACTCCTGTTTCAGAGTGACCCATGAACAATTCATCAAAATAATCCTGGTGGACATGAAATACATTAAGTACCGGTAATATCATTATTCTGACTTATTCTTTCACTCTGACACTCATTCATGCATAAATACTTAAAGGGGTCATATGATGCTGCTAAAAAGAACATTATTTTGTGTATTTGGTGTAATGAAATGTGTTTATGCGGTTTAAAGTTTAAAAAACACATTATTTTCCACATACTGTACATTATTGTTTCTCCTCTATGCCCCGCCTTTCTGAAACGCGCCGATTTTTACAAAGCTCATCGGTCTGAAAAAGCGAGGTGTGCTCTGATTGGCCAGCTATCCAATGCATTGTGATTGGCCGAATACCTCAAGCGTGTGACAGAAATGTTAAATGTTTTCGCTTTCACAACGAAAACACAGCGGCCTAGCATGAGGGGAAGCCCCGGCTTAGCGTGCGCTGAGGCCGGGATAGAGTGAGCTGAGGCAGGGGGCTTGAGAACGGCGCGGCCGGCGATTTCGACGAGGAAAACTTGAAATCGCATCATATGACCCCTTTAATTAAATCATTCTTTAAAGCCAATCGCTGTCTAAATGGAGGTTCTATGTTAAAGTCTGTTTCTTTTCTCCAGCTATGGGACAATCTTTGAGACGAGGACGTGTTTCAAATGGATTTCTGCTGTCTCTTGAAGTTGGATCCATTCCTGTCTGCTCTTTTGAAATCGAGGCAATGCAAGAACAGAATGATTAAATAAAATACAAAGTATTTTGCTCTTTCAAAATGAGGTTTCACTCATGCCGAATATGGCTACAAACCGAACGCTGTTGATGTTCTTATTGTGCTCGGATCTCTCCTGCATGTGCAGTCTGAGCTTCCTTCCGTGTTCTTTATTTGTTTCAGCTTTTAAATAATGCACAGGTTCATCATGGATGTGTGGTGGTTTCACACCTGCATTATTGCTCTTGTGCTGCAGTAAATCTCAGTGCAGTAGTATTGCACCAGCATGCACTGGACATGAAGACTCAACTCTGTGGTATAAACAGAGTAGAGCATTTGCATTATTAATTTACTTTACTGATATCATGAGAGGTCACAAGAGGACAACCACAAAACTTAAAATAAGTAACCACATCTATGGGGGGAGCCACGGATCGAACTGATCAATAAGCGGTTTGTTGCCCTTTCAACTCACTCTTTAAATGTCTTTTCCATATAAGATATAATGTTTACCAGAGTCATAAATCTCACAACATACTTTTGTTATCTTCAGGTAATTTGGAAAACACTTCACAATGACTTTCATTTATAACATCTATATAACATCTATAACATTATATAATGCTTAAAGGTCAATTAATGCACATTATAATACAAATGTTATGGAACACAAATTCATATTGTGTCTAAATGTACTACATAAAAAATATATTTAAAAAATGCCAAGTTCTTCCATGAAACTCTAGATGACCTTACTGCTTTACATTTAAATGGCTCGTTAGTATTTTGCAGTGCTCTTTCAGAGTACCTCTGAATCCCTCCATCTTCCCCAGCTCCACCTGTATAGATCATTATTTTATATGCTATTTGTGCAGCAGCAGCATGTCTTAAATATTGACAGCACTGTATCGCTGTATGCATTGGCAGTAGCAAGTTCCTGTACTTGCTTGCAGCAGCATCAGCAATAATCTACAACTACAGCAATAACCAACAGCAGCAGCAATTCAGCAGCAGCAGCAGCGTATCTATTCCGCCAAGACCAAATGCATTAACATTGTCATATCCATTACATTGCTAAAATCTTCTGAGTTGTTACGATAGAAATAAATTATATATATTTTTTTAAAAAATATATATATTTAATAGTTATATATTTTAATATATATATTTAAATTATGTAATGAATGAATGATTGAATTTATTTTATCTCGGATCTCTCCTGCATGTGCAGTCTGAGCTTCCTTCCGTGTTCTTTATTTGTTTCAGCTTTTAAATAATGCACAGGTTCATCATGGATGTGTGGTGGTTTCACACCTGCATTATTGCTCTTGTGCTGCAGTAAATCTCAGTGCAGTAGTATTGCACCAGCATGCACTGGACATGAAGACTCAACTCTGTGGTATAAACAGAGTAGAGCATTTGCATTATTAATTTACTTTACTGATATCATGAGAGGTCACAAGAGGACAACCACAAAACTTAAAATAAGTAACCACATCTATGGGGGGAGCCACGGATCGAACTGATCAATAAGCGGTTTGTTGCCCTTTCAACTCACTCTTTAAATGTCTTTTCCATATAAGATATAATGTTTACCAGAGTCATAAATCTCACAACATACTTTTGTTATCTTCAGGTAATTTGGAAAACACTTCACAATGACTTTCATTTATAACATCTATATAACATCTATAACATTATATAATGCTTAAAGGTCAATTAATGCACATTATAATACAAATGTTATGGAACACAAATTCATATTGTGTCTAAATGTACTACATAAAAAATATATTTAAAAAATGCCAAGTTCTTCCATGAAACTCTAGATGACCTTACTGCTTTACATTTAAATGGCTCGTTAGTATTTTGCAGTGCTCTTTCAGAGTACCTCTGAATCCCTCCATCTTCCCCAGCTCCACCTGTATAGATCATTATTTTATATGCTATTTGTGCAGCAGCAGCATGTCTTAAATATTGACAGCACTGTATCGCTGTATGCATTGGCAGTAGCAAGTTCCTGTACTTGCTTGCAGCAGCATCAGCAATAATCTACAACTACAGCAATAACCAACAGCAGCAGCAATTCAGCAGCAGCAGCAGCGTATCTATTCCGCCAAGACCAAATGCATTAACATTGTCATATCCATTACATTGCTAAAATCTTCTGAGTTGTTACGATAGAAATAAATTATATATATTTTTTTAAAAAATATATATATTTAATAGTTATATATTTTAATATATATATTTAAATTATGTAATGAATGAATGATTGAATTTATTTTATTTTATACAATTTATTTATTTTATATTTATTTATTTCATTTATTTATTTACTTAAACATTCCGTATTTAAAAAAAAGCTTTTCTACTCAAAATTTGTGGTAAAAAAGAGCAGGTTTCAAAAAGTGACAACTTACCCCCATATATTGTGGCTGCATGACCCGTTACATAAATAAACTGAATCTTTTTTTGCCCCTGAGCAACACTGGAAATGTCCATACTCTTTTTTTAAAATCAAGATAACCTTGTAACCTGGGCAAGGATCGTCTGTTGAGCCTTCCTATTATTGTTTGTTAGCGAATGTTAATGAACGTTGTTGTAAACTGTTACCGCCGTGTCTGGTCTTTTCTCATCCAAAAATAAGAGGCGTCAAGACACACACACACACACACACACACACACACACGCGCCGTTTCATATTGGCTCGTGCGCTCATGGAAAGCTGATGTGTGGCGCGCTCTGAGAGTCTCTCACATTTCAGGAAGTGTCGGAAGTCCTCAGCTGCTGTCCGTCTGTCCTGCTCTATATTATGGTCGCGCAGCCGTGATCCGCGTGGATCGTTGGTGTGGATCTCCGGTGGGGCACCATGTCCACCCGGTACAGCCCGAGGCGTGCGCTCCTGCCCGCGGTCTGCGCGCATGTTGTGTCCGTGCTGACTGTCTGCTGCGCCGGGGGGCTCTTTACAGCCGGTAAGACACATTTTACTAGAATTGCTTTGTGCACTTTCAACTTTCAAATGACTGTGCGGCTGCGGCTCAAAACCTAGTACGCTGCCTACTTAGTCAAACAGCATCTTTGGGCATCATCGGCACGCAAAAGTCAAACTGCACAGTTGTTTATTTAAAACACGGTTTCTACCTGATCTGACACTTAAATCCAAATGTTTTGATTTGCACAGGTAATTTAGATGAAGTAGCTTGCATTTAGGTTACTTGGCATAAAACATTGTAGTTTGTGTTTTAGGAACAGACCGAGTCTCTTGTTCTCAGAGCAGCACAACTGATGAATGGTGGACAGTTTGTATTAAGAACATGCTGTGATGTTTCTCCAGAACAGCTTCTTTGAGAGATATCTGTGCTTAATTGAGGCATTAACAGAACATCTGTGGTTTCATGGTGGTTTTTATTGTCATAACTTGGTTTATCAATACACTATTTGGCGACCAGATGATGATCATTGTGAGTTGATTATAATGATTTCACAAATACAGCTGAATGTGAGGGAATCTCACAAAACCTGCTCAAGTCATACTTAAAGCTAAATATTTTTTCTTTAAATAAAATTAAAAAAAATTATTTTATTTTGGACCATTGAGAAATTTGATTGATTGATTGATTCCTGCAGGAAAATGTTGTTTTGGAAAAATATGATTGATTAATTCATTGACTCAAGAAAATGAAGGTTATTTTTCGGACAAAGATTTATTTATTTGTTTATTTATTGCATTGTGTGCATTATTTTTGAGAACATTTTGCCTATTTTCCTACTACATTCTCGTTACATTTTTATTACTGTGATTCCAATAATGGTATATGCATTTTTTTTAAATTGTAGAGAATGTATACATCATGTTACTATTTTTGTACTACCTTTTATTTATGCTATTTTTTAAAATACATTTAAAAAAAATTACAGCATACTTTGTGTAATATGGTATAAAATTACGCTATTACAGTAATTAGGATGTAATGAGAATAATCAATGTGAATAATGGCATTTAATATATATATATATATATATATATATATATATATAATCTCACCATACTCAGATGCATTACACAAATGAGAATTGTTGGGGTAAATATGTGTAATTGACATAAAAATAATACAGATTCAATTCAGTATGAGACTAACAGCCCGAGGCGTGCGCTCCTGCCCGCGGTCTGCGCGCATGTTGTGTCCGTGCTGACTGTCTGCTGCGCCGGGAGCATGTTTACAGCCGGTAAGAGCAAATTTCCTATAACTGCTTTGTGCACTTACAACTTTCACATGACTGTGTGGCTGCGGCTCAAAAACTAGTACGCTGCCTACTTAGTTCAAACAGCATTTTTGGGCATCACGGGCGCGCAAAAGTCAAACTGCACAGTTGTTATTTAAAACACGGGCTTTACCTGATATGACCCTTAAATTAGCCTTGAACTCAAATCTTTTGATTTTGACATGTCATTTAGATGAAGTAACTTGCATTGAAGTTAATTGGCATAAAACATTACAGTTTGTGTTTTAGGAACAGATTGAGTCTCTTTTTCTCAGAGCAGCACAACTAATGCACGTCGGACAGTTTGTATGAAGAACATGCTCAGAACAGCTTCTTTGGGAGATGTTTGTGCTTTATTGATAGAGGCATTAACAGAACATCTGTGGTTTGCTGGTGGTTTTTATTGTCATAACTTGTAGTTTGTCAATACACTATTTGGTGACAAGATGATGATCATTGTGATTTGATTATAATGATTTCTTATTTATGTATTTATTTGACCAATGACAATTTGATTGATTGATTGATTGATTACTGCAGGAACATTAAGCTGTTTTGGAAAAATATGATTTGATTGATTGATTTTGAAACCCAAGAAAATTAAGGTTATTTTAGGACCAAGATTTATTTACTTTTTATGTACATTTTCCTCCTACATTCTCATTACAATGATGTAATAATAGTATATGCATATAGAGAATGAATACATTGTTACTATTTTTTGTACTTTTATTTATGCTATTTTTTTAAATAAATAAAAACCATTACAGCATACTTTGTGTAATATTGTATAAAATTACAGTAATGATGATCTAATGATAATAACCATGAAAATAATGCCATTAAAATATGTATTAAAAAATCTCTAAATGCCCAGATGCATTATAGTAATGAGAATTGTTGGAGCAAATATGCTTAATTGTTATAAAAATTAATGCCATAATGCAAAATTCCTTGTGCAAATATTGTTTTTCTCAAAATTTGGGGATAAGATATGACCTGGGTTTGGTTGTGTGGTATTCACCCATGTAGAGTTTGGGTCGATTATTCTAAGGAGACAAAACCTGAACAAATGAGGCTTTTCTTTCTCTCTCTCTCTGTCTCTGAACACATCATCATTGGTAAAGTGCTCTTAATTAACACAGAAAACAATCAGTCTCTCTTCGCCTCCTGATGCTAAATGTATTTGTGTGCGAGTGATGATTATGTTATTGTGTGCTTTGCTGAGTTAATTGCATGTCGACGATCATTAATAGTTCAAAGCTCATTCATCATGGAGCCGGTAAGTGATATGAAATGAGACTCCGTGCGGGTTTGGTGGACGCAGTCACAGTGATTATATGATGAGAGCACTAATGAAACAAACGTGCTGCATGCAACTCTGACAGATTTGATAAATGACACAGCGTTACAGCGACATGGTGCTTGATCAGCCACAGATACTCTCATTAAATCAGAGAGCTTATACAAAACAGGTGTGCTGGAGGGAGGAGGAGATGTGGAGCTTCATACCGTATAATTAGTTAACACTGGAGAAATGTAGTATTACATCACTTTCTCACCAATGGATCCTCTGCAGTGAATGGGTGCCGTCAGAATGAGAGTCCAAACAGCTGATAAAAACATCACAATAATCCACAAGTAATCCACACCAGTCCAGTCCACCAATTAACATCTTGTGAAGTGAAAAGCTGTGTGTTTGTAAGAAACAAATCCATCAGTAAGGTTTTTTAACTTTAAACCATTCATGAAGTACAAGTCCATAATCCATAATAACAGTGAAAAAGTCGCCTCATCTGAATCAGGAGAGAAATATACACAGATCAACACTGTTCACAAGCCAAAACAGCTCTAAACAAGTACGTGGATGGATTTTGATGTCAGTGGACAACAGGAGATGAACTTTTTCACTGGAGGAAGCGTTATAATGTATTATGGACTCGTATTGTAGCCAGAAGTGATGGTTTAAAGTTTAAACGTGTAAATGATGGATTTGTTTATAACAAACACACAGCTTTTCAATTCACAAGATGTTAACTGGTGGACTGGAGTGGTGTGGATTACTTGTGGATTATTGTGATTTTTTTTATCAGCTGTTTGGACTCTCATTCTGACGGCACCCATTCACTGCATAGGATCCACTGGTGAGCAAATGATGCAATGCTGCATTTCTCCAAATCTGATGAAGAAACAAACTCATCTGCATAATGGATTGCCTGAGGGTGAGAATGATTTCAGCATTGAGCTATTCCTTTAATGATGTTCCTCAACAGCAATGTTCCCTTGCTGAGCAAAACTTTTCTCTATTGGATGGACATTTCGGCCACCTGAGCAAAAACATTCTTTATACCAGATCTGTACAACGCACATACAAGAAAAGTGTGCACCATTTAACTTTAATGTGCTATTTATATTTGATTTGAACCTTGATGTTACTAAATGATGTACATTTTAGGCTACCTGAGAAAACATTTTTACAGTATAATACACTGCCGTTCAAAGGTTTGGGATCAGTACAATTTTTTAAAGAAGTTTCTCATGCTCATCAAGGCTGTATCTATTTGATAAAAAATACTGAATATTATTTCACAAAATAATATTGTGAAATATTGCAATTTAAAATAAAAGTTTTCTATTTTAATATACTTTAAAATATAATTTATTCCTGTGAAGCAAAGCTGAATTTTCAGCATCATTACTCCAGTCTTCAGTGTCACATGATCCTTCAGAAATCATTCTAATATGCTGATTTATAATTAATGTTGGAAACAGTTATGCTGCTTAATATTTTTTGGGACCAGTGATATTTTTTCAGGATTCTTTGATAAATAAAAAGTTAAAAAGAACAGTGTTTATTAAAAATAGAAATTTTGTGTTACAATAGACCTATACACTACTATTCAAAAGTTTGGGGTCAGTATTTTTTCTTTCTTTTTTTAAAAAGAAATTAATACTTTTATTCAGCAAGGATGTGTTAAATGGATAAAAAGTGATAGTAAAGACTTATATTGTTAGAAAAGACTTCTATTTTAAATAAATGCTGTTCTTTTTAACTTTTTGTTCATCAAAGAATCCAAGAAAAAAGTATCACAGATTCCAAAAAAATATTAAGCAGCACAACAGTTTCAACACTGCTAATAAATAATAGATAATAAATGAATCAGAATATTAGAATGATTTCTGAAGGATCATGTGACACTGAAGACTGGAGTAATGATGCTGAAAATCCAGCTGTGCTTCACGGGAATAAATTATATTTTAAAGTATATTAAAATAGGAAACCAATATTAGAAATTGCAATAATATTTCACAATATTACTGTTTTTTTCTGTATTTTTGATCAAACAAATTCAGCCTTTATGAGCATAAGTGACTCCATTAAAAAAACAAGGTCAATTATTTATTAGGTTTAAATAATATAGGCCTAACATAATATAATATAATATCAAAACAAACTGAAGCATTTAAACTGAGATCTGTAAGTTAAATATTTTCAAAAAACGTGAACGTGAATTCTTCTTTAGCTATCTAAACATCCCTATGAAGTACAGTTTGCACAATACACCTGTGTGTGACTGTAAATGTCTCTGAGTTTTGTTACCGTTCTGTGTCCATCATCTGCTCTTTCCAGCACTTAATCAAGCCACTCTTCTTTAATACATGAGGACGTTTTATTTCACATGTCATTGCGTTTGCGCTGGCTCTCGATTTGAGCTTTTTCAACTCTATAGCGGTTTACCCGAGCATTGCAATTATTTAGTTTTTACTAGAAAACAATCAAATGGCTTTCCCAACTCATTTTTGCGTGTGCGCAGCCAAGGTGGAGGGAACATTGCTCAACAATTATTTTATATTAAACAAAACTATTATTGGTTGCATAACTTTTGTTGTTTATGTTATACTGTAAAAAATGCTTTCTGAGATGAGAATTGTTTCTACACCAAATGTGTTTTTAGTGTACGTTTAAAAAGTATGTTTTGATTCTCAAGAACCGCTCCAATCGATTTAGATCAATAATTCTTGATCTCAAGAATTATTCTATTTTTGTTTGATTCATTAAAAAGAACAGTCTTGTAGTCATTTGTGAGTCATTAAAGGGAGACATAGACAAGGAAGGGCAGAGGAACCCAGTAAGATGAGTGTGGAAAGATGTGAGGTGGAAGTCAAGAGAAAGAACAGAGAGGAAGACACGATGAAGAGAGACTAGCCCGTCACAGTGGGGTGTAAAACCAGAAACCATTGATGTGACAACAAGGTTACCGAGACACGCGATCAAAGCCGTGCCGATCCCCAACATGTGTTAGAGAGAGGATGTCGACTACTGCGAGTGAACACTGTCCCTGAGTCTGCTACAAATGATCCCGTTCCCTCCAGACGCAGCATGTGGGAAAACCAGAGTTCATTGCCACTTCTGTGAGTGTGTTGGCATATTTGAAGTTAGAGTTCAGCAGAAGATGAAAACTCTCATCATTTGCTCACCCTCATGTCATTACAAATGTGCCTGGTTTGCTTTCTTCTGTGGAACACAAAAGCAGATGTTTTGCAAAAGGTACAGAGTGCTCTTTTATTTTTTATAATGGGTTGTCAAGCTCAAATATGAGGGAAATATTATAGAAATAGCCCAATATTTTGTGCACTAATGAAATTAATACTTTTATTCAGCAAGGATGCATTAAATTGATCAAAAGCAACAGTAAAGACATATTACAATAGATTTCAAATAAATGCTATTCTCTTGAACTTTCTATTCATCAAAGAATGCTGAAAATCATGGTTTCCACAAACATATTCGGCAGCACAACTGTTTCAACACTGATAATAATCAGAAATGTTTCTTGAGCAGCAAATCGGCATATTAGAATGATTTCTGAAGGATCGTGTGACACTGAAGACTGGTGTTATGATGCTGAAAATTCACAGGAATAAATTACATTTTAACATATATTCAAATAGAAAATGTTGCC